GAATAGATGATAATTGAGGCAGGGAGGGAAAACAGGTGAAAGAAATAACCAATTAATGGAGAGCAAACGGGCCAGATCATGACACTGAGCTGCTTGCAGAAAACAAAGGACATGATAGGATGCAAATTTCAAGAAGTTTTAGACACTTCCAAACATTATTACAGAACACAATCCAAAGCAGATGAATATTTGAACTTACATCCTTGTTTACCTCGTCTCAAAGAGAAAAATCATAAGCACAATATCATTTTTATATAGCCATTTTTGCTGTACTAAAAAATAGGGGTGTCAACAATAATCGATTCAGCGATGCATTGCAATGCGGGGCATGCACGATTCAGCATCGATGTGGCAACGTGCCATAATCGATTATGTCACTGTTTATTTTCTGATCTCAAATAGACAAGTTGTGAAGTTTCAATTACTTCTGAGGGCATACCAACAATCAAGATGGCTGAGGCGGAGGGAGATGACCGCAATAGACGGGTAGGCCTAATTAAAAACGCACCAAAAGCTTGGAAAGCAGATATCTGGGCACATTTCGGATTTTACGAAGTCAATGGGATTTTGATGCATCGCAATGCATCACAATGCATCGTAGAATCAAATTGAATCGAAACGTTACCTGGTGAATCGTAATCGAATCGAATCGTGAGGGCAGTGCCAATGCACACCCCTACTAAAAAACATCCATCAGGTGGCAGCATAGGAAAAGCTGCTGGAGCAGAGAATCTTCAGCGGTATTTTTCCAAACCATTTAGCTTTAACCCAGAGGCAAACTTATGAAAAAAAATATACTGACCAGTATTAAAAACAGATTTAAACAGTAGAGTTTTCTCTATGACTATTTGAGTGCAGGTTCTAGAATGAATGCCATCCTGGGCAAATCCTTTAGCCCCACCCCTCCAAACAAATGCCCATTTAGAAAGAACAGCTTTCTTTATGCTGCTTAAAATTAGATCACCTTACAGGCCAATAGCTGCACAACAAAATGTTCCCCTTAGTCGTCGTCGTCTCCCGCTTTATCCTTAACCGGGTCGCGGGGGCAGCAGACTAAGCAGAGACTCCCAGACTTCCCTCTCCGCAAACACCTCCTCCAGCTCTGTTTGGGGAAGCCCTAGGCGCTCCCAGGCCAGCCGAGAGACATAGTCTCTCCAGCGTGTCCTGGGTTGTCCCCTGGGCCTCCTCCCGGTGGGACATGCCTGGAACACCTCCCGAGGGAGGCGTCCAGGGGGCATCCGAAGAAGATGTCCGAGCCACCTCAACTGACTCCTCTCGATGTGGAGGAGAACCGGCTCTACTTTGAGCCTCTCCCGAATGACCGAGCTCCTCACCCTATCTCTAAGGGAGAGCCCAGCCACCCTGCGGAGAAAGCTCATTTCAGCCGCTTGTATCCGGGATCTCGTTCTTTCGGTCATGATCCAAATTTCATGACCATAGGTGAGGGTAGGAACGTAGACCGGTAAATTGAGAGCTTTGCTTTTTCGCTCAGCTCCCTCTTCACCACAACAGACCGGTGCAGCGTCCGCATTATTGCAGCAGCCGCACCGATCAGTCTATCGATCTCCCGCTCTATTATTCCCTCACTCGTGAACAGGACCCGTAGATACTTGAACTCCTCCACTTGAGGCAGGGACTCTCCTCCAACATGAAGGGGACAAGCCGCCTTTTCCCGGTCAAGAACCATGGCCTCGGACTTGGAGGAGCTGATTCTCATACCGGCCGCTTCACACTCGGCTGCGAACCGCCCCAGTGCACGTTGTAGGTCTTGGCAGGAGGGAGCCAGCAGAACTACGTCATCCGCAAAAAGCAGGGACGAGATCCGCTGCTCCACAAACCAGACCCCCTCCGGTCCTTGGCTGCGCCTAGAAATCCTGTCCATAAAAGTTATGAACAGGACTGGTGACAGAGGGCAGCCCTGTCGGAGTCCAACATCCACTGTGAACAGGTCCGACTTACTGCTGACAATGCGAACCAGACTCCTGCTCCGCTTGTACAGAGAACGGATGGCCCCTAATAAAGGGCCCCCGACTCCATACTCCTGGAGCACCCCCCACAGGGCAGGACGAGGGACACGGTCAAATGCCTTCTCCAAGTCCACAAAACACATGTGGACTGGTTGGGCAAACTCCCATGAACCCTCAAGCACCCTGCAGAGGAAGTAGAGCTGGTCCACTGTTCCACGGCCAGGACGAAAACCACACTGCTCCTCCTGCAGCCGAGGTTCAACAATCAGCCGGACTCTCCTCTCCAGCACCCTGGCATAGGCCTTTCCGGGGAGGCTGAGAAGTGTGATTCCCCGATAATTGGAACACACCCTCCGGTCCCCCTTCTTGTGGAGGGGAACCACCACCTCAGTCTGCCAATCCAGGGGTACTGTCCCCGACCTCCACGCGATGTTGAAGAGACGTGTCAACCATGACAGCCCGACAACATCCAGAGCTCTAAGATACTCAGGATTGATCTCGTCCACCCCCGAAGCCTTGCCACCGTGGAGTTTTTTGACCACCTCGGTGACTTCGGCCTGGGTGATGAACGATTCCAGCCCCAAGCACCCCGTCTCTTCTTCCCCCACGGAAGGCGTGTCCGTCGGGTTGAGGAGATCCTCAAAGTATTCCTTCCACCGCCCGACAATATCCTCCTTCAAGGTCAGCAGCTTCCCACTCCCACTGAAAACAGTGTTAGCGAAGCACTGCTTTCCCCTCCGGTGGCGCCGGACGGTTTGCCAGAATCGCTTTGAGGCCAACCGATAGTCTTTTTCCATGGCCTCTCCAAACTCCTCCCAGGCCCGAGATTTTGCCTCTGCAACCGCCCGGGCCGTGACACGCTTGGCCTCACGGTACCTGCTTGCTGCTTCAGGAGTCCCACAAGCCAGCCAAGCTCGATAGGACTCCTTCTTCAGCTTGACAGCATCCCTTACTATCGGTGTCCACCACCGGGTTCGGGGATTGCCACCACGACAGGCACCGCAAACCTTACGGCCACAGCGACGGGCAGCTGCATCGACAATAGAGGCCGAGAACAGAGCCCATTCGGACTCCATATCTCCAACCTCCCTCGGAACCTGAGAGAAGCTCTCCCGGAGGTGGGAGTTGAACATGTCCCTGACCGAGGGTTCCACCAGACGTTCCCAGCAGACCCTCACTACACGTTTGGGCCTGCCGAGTCTTTCAGGCTTCCTCCTCTTCCAGCGTATCCAGCTCACCACCAGGTGGTGGTCGGTGGACAGCTCCGCCCCTTTCTTCACCCGAGTGTCCAGGACATGCAGCCGAAGATCAGAAGATACGACTACAAAGTCGATCATCGACCTTCGGCCTAGGGTGTCCTGGTGCCAAGTGCACCGATGGACATCCTTATGCCTGAACGTGGTGTTCATTATGGACAATACGTGACTTGCACAGAAGTCCAATAATAAGACACCACTCGGGTTCCAAGCTTGGGGCCCGTTCCTCCCGATCACGCCCCTCCAGGTGTCACTGTCGTTTCCCACGTGGGCGTTGAAGTCTCCCAGTAGAATGATGGAATCCCCAGGAGGGGTGCTTTCTAACACCCTCCCCAGGGATGCTAAGAAGGCCTGGTACTCCGTACTGCCGTTCGGCCCATAGGCTGAAACAACTGTCAGAGTCCTCCCCTCAACCCGAAGGCGAAGGGATGCGACCCTCTCGTCTACAGGGGTGAACTCCAACACGAGACGGCTGAGCTGGGGGGAGACAATCAGCCCCACCCCCGCCCTCCGCCTCTCCCCGCGGGTCACTCCAGAGTAGAAGAGAGTCCAGCCTCTATCAAGGAGCTCGGTTCCAGAGCCCTGGCTGTGCGTAGAGGTGAGCCCAACTTTTTCTAGCTGGTATCGCTCCACCTCCCGCACAAGTTCGGGCTCCTTCCCCGCCAGTGAGGTGACATTCCACGTCCCCAGAGCCAGTTTAAGTGCCCGCGGATCAGGTCGCCAAGGTCTCCGCCTCTGGCTGCCGCCCAATCCACTTTGCACCGGTCCCTCATGGTTCCCCCTGCAGGTGGTGGGCCCACTGGGGGATGGCCTCGCGTCGCTCCTTCGGGCTGGGCCTGGCCGGGTCCCGCGAGGAAGAACCCGACCACCAGGCGCTCGCCAACGAACCCCAACCCCAGGCCTGGCTCCAGGGTGGGGTCCCGGCTCCGCCGTACCGGGCGACGTCACTTGCCTCGTTGTTGTGCTCATCATAAGGGTTTTTGAACCGCTCTTCGTCTGACCTGTCACCCTGAGCCTGTTTGCCTTGGGAGACCCTACCAGGGGCATTTAGGCCCCGACAACATAGCCTCTGGGATCACCCAGGCACTGAAACCCCTCCACCACGTTAAGGTGGCGGTTCAAGGAGGGGGTTCCCCTTAGTCTACAGATCAAAGCCATCTGGACTTAGTATACGATTAAGACCAGATATTTTGCTTTTAAACATAACTTTTTACAAAGACTAGAATATAAAATAGTATTTATAATCCAGTGAAGATCTAAAGTCTTAAGTGTTTCGAAAGAGAAAAGTTCAAACTCAAAGAGAAGCCCTTAAATTGCATCACAACAACTTCCCAAACAAGCCACCCACAGAGCTACCAGTTTCCTAAGTATACCGTGCAACCAGTACCCTGAATAATGCCACATCCTCAATGAAGCTCGCCATTTGTCTAGACAATTACAAAGTTAATATAAAGCCTTTATTTCATGTCCCACAATTGTAAACGTTCTCATAAGCCAAATGTTCGAAAAAAATAAATCAGAACAAGTTTTTAATGGAAAATAGAGCTTATCCAAATGCAGCCATATATTTTTAACTGATAAAAGGGTTTACTTCATGATAAGACAACCCACACAAAACCTGTTTTATGAATGGATAGGCTGTGTTATTTGAAGAGTATCCCTGCTTTAGGCAGATAAGGAAAACAGTAAAATGCTGGGTTGATGTTTCCACTCGGATAAAAAAAAAAACAGTCAAGACATTAAGTGTGAAAAAAGTTTAATTTTCGAATTTTCAAACCTCCACAACACTAGTGACAGTTTATGTTCATTATTTTGTAGTGCCCAAAATCATAGCCAAGGTGGCGACAAAAACTACGTATTCTTTAAAATCAACAGAACCGTCACCATCTTCATCCAGCGCCTTCATAAACTCATCCACTCTTCCTTTTTATCAGCCTGCAAAGACAAATATTCACCTTTTAAAAAAACAAATCTTTAGGAAATCATGGCACATTCCTTTAAAGTGATAAGATCAGTTTACTTACTAATCCAGGAACCTCAGCTTTCAGCAAGGTGGCAAGTTCCTTCTTCGACAGAGAACCCTTGTCTCCATCTGCTCCAGCATACTTTTGAAAAGTTTGCTTCAGCATTCCAATTGCACCCAGAATGTTGGACATGGTGGCTGGGATACGATTGAGTCACAATTAAGGCATTTAATTTTTGCTGTTGTAGTATTAGAAATTTTGCAGGTTAAGGCTACATGGGCGTTGGCTCTTTCCTTTGTGCCCAGCCACGCCCTTTGCAAAAAAAAACAAAAAAAAAACCTAAGCCACTTTGCTAGTGTGCAATGATTCCTATCTGCATGGGTTGATCAAACCACTCTTGCAACTGCTGGTTTTAATCAGCTAATGGCAGTACAACAAACCAGGAAATGGCTACCATTAGTAAGCCTCTTTAAATACACTTTCATGCAAAACAAAATCATTAAATCTTTAAATATTTATAAAAATGGCACTTCACGAAAGTTGAAACACTAGGAAATGTTTGTCATTATTTTGTCTTTTAAGAATAGACCAGAAAAAAATTGACTTAGTCTGCTGTAGATGCACATTCCTTTATTTCACAAAACAGCCATCCAGTGATAACATTAGGAACTAATTTCTTCAGCACAGCAGCTAGCCCAGGTCATAATCATATCCTTGCAGGGTCACTTGGAGCCTGTGAAGTCAATGGGTGGGAGGGACAGGTCCCTGTCTGGATAGAATCAGAACATAATTTTTCTTTTAAACTGTGGGACTAATTCATCTAATGAAGTAAAGTCGAGCTTATCTGATCAGGCAGCCTGCCAGGAGTTTTGGGCCTGATGACAAAAAAATCGTCCCCCTTGCAGCTAAGCCGTGGTCACCACATCTCTATCTCATCGATCAAAAGATTTTGTGACCAACTTGCGACTGTCCTGCTTCCTGAAGTTCAGTACTAGTAATAGTACAACAATACATCTGTAAGGAAATGTGAAAGGTTTCGTTTGCTTTACTCTACTTATTCAATTTTTCAGAGTCTCCACTAGAGGGGGTCAGTTGAGTGTTTGGATAGGATTTCGAGATAGTGGAGAAGGTAGATGGGATATCACCTATGTGTAATTATTTCGACGTGATTTCCCCCAATAACGTCAGATAATCATACCAAATCTAATCTATTTAAGATTTATTCGATTTGTTATCAACAGTGGTTTTTCTGACTCTATTTAAAGGTGAAGTGTTATGTTCCAAGGAGTCAGGATACAAAACAATACCTGCTCAGTATTGAGGCCTTTCTGTGCCTCGCATGAGAGTAAGACGGCAACTGGAGCATCCTCCAGCCAGGTTTGGTTATTAAAATCGTATACAAACAGACACAATAACAATTTTCTAAATCTTCTTTTGTGTATTGCACAAAAGAATACAACCAAAATAGATAACGGTCAATGTTTTTATTTCCTTTTACCTGACAGAAGATCATTATCTGAGTTGGTCACTTACCTGGTCTAACAGTCCAGTCCAAGAATGTCCCCAGTGCTGCAGTCCCAGAGGTCTTGCAGGAAGCCGATCCTGATCAGAGATTCAGAACAGACAGAACAGGCCGGATCCAGGCTTCCAGGCCTCGTAGAGCTCCCAGGCAGGTTCAGAGTCCAACAGAGTCCGGAAGTGTGACCAGGTGGTCATGCACAGGATCAGGTGCAGATGAGGAGGCTCAGTGGAAGAGGGTAGCAGAGACAGGACGTGGAACCAGAACTTGATGCAGGACCTTTAAACTGGTCTCCACCTTGGAGCCAGGCTTACTTGGATAAAAACTGAACCTCCCTGCGTACAGGGGAAAACCCAGAGGGCTCAGCAGGGGAGGAACTGTGGACGAGCAGGAGACGAGACAGACACAAAACACTCTTTCCACTGGCTGCCAGGATCCAGGACAAGAACAAGGTTCTTGGAACAGAAAAACAAATGATGATCTGGCCCCGAATGCTCAGGCTGAACAAAATATAAACCAAAGGAAACAGATGAGAGGAATAGATAATTGAGGCAGGGAGGGAAAACAGGTGAAAGAAATAACCAATAAATGGAGAGCAAACAGGCCAGATCATGACACTGAGCTGCTTGCAGAAAACAAAGGACAATATAGGATGCAAATTTCAGGAAGTTTTAGACACTTCCAAACATTATCACAGAACACAATCCAAAGCAGATGAATATTTGAACTTACATCCTTGTTTACCTCGTCTCAAAGAGAAAAATCATATGCACAATATCATTTTTATATAGCCATTTTTGCTGTACTAAAAAACATCAGGTGGCAGCATTGGAAAAGCTGCTGGAGCAGAGAATCTTCAGCAGTATTTTTCCAAACCATTTAGCTTTAACCCAGAGGCAAATTTATGAAAAAAAAAAAAATATTGACCAGTATTAAAAACAGATTTAAACAGTAGAGTTTTCTCTATGACTATTTGAGTGCTGGTTCTAGAATGAATGCCATCCTGGGCAAATCCTTTAGCCCCGCCCCTCCAAACAAATGCCCATTTAGAAAGAACAGCTTTATTTATGCTGCTTAAAATTAGATCACCTTACAGGCCAATAGCTGCACAACAAAATGTTCCCCTTAGTCTACAGATCAAAGCCATCTGGACTTAGTATATGATTAAGACCAGATATTTTGCTTTTTAACAGAATTTTTTACTAGAAGACTAGAATATAAAATAGTATTTATAATCCAGTGTTAGGATTATAGTGTTTCGAAAGAGAAAAGTATAAACTCAAAGAGGAGCCCTTAAATTGCGTCACACCAACTTCCCAAACAAGCCACCCACAGAGCTACCAGTTTCCTAAGTATACCGTGCAGCCAGTACCCTGAATAATGCCACATCCTCATTGAAGCTCGCCATTTGTCTAGACAATTACAAAGTTAATATAAATCCTTTATTTCATGACCCACAATTGTAAACGTTCTCATAAGCCAAATGTTCGAAAAAAATAAATCAGAACAAGTTTTTAATGGAAAATAGAGCTTATCCAAATGCAGCCATATATTTTTAACTGATAAAAGGGTTTACTTCATGATAAGACAACCCACACAAAACCTGTTTTATGAATGGATAGGCTGTTTCATTTGAAGAGTATCCCTGCTTTAGGCAGATAAGGAAAACAGTAAAATGCTGGGTTGATGTTTCCACTCGGATTAAAAAAAAAACAGTCAAGACATTAAGTGTGAAAAAAGTTTAATTTTCCTTGTTTAAAAACAAACATTGACATTTCACATCATATTCACTTTAACCTGCTCAAACCTCCACAACACTAGTAACCGTTTATGTTCATTATTCTGTAGTGCCCAAAATCATAGCCAAGGTGGCGACAAAAACGACGTATTCTTTAAAATCAACAGAACCGTCACCATCTTCATCCAGCGCCTTCATAAACTCATCCACCTCTTCGTTTTTATCAGCCTGTAAAGACAAATATTCACCTTTTAAAAAAACAAATCTTTAGGAAATCATGGCACATCCCTGATAAGATCAGTTTACTTACCAATCCAGGAACCTCAGCTTTCAGCAAGGTGGCAAGTTCCTTCTTCGACAGAGAACCCTTGCCTCCTTCTGCTCCAGCATACTTATCAAAAGTTTGCCTCAGGATTCCAATTGCACCCAGAATGGTGGACATGGTGGCTGGGATAAGATTGAGTCACAATTAGGGCATTTAATTTTTGCTGTTGTAGTACTAGAAATTTTGCAGGTTTAGGCTACATGGGCGTTGGCTCTTTCCTTTGTGCCCAGCCACGCCCTTTGCAAAAAAAAAAACCCTAAGCCATTTTGCTAGTGTGCAATGATTCCTATCTGCATGGGTTGATCAAACCACTCTTGCAACTGCTGGTTTTAATCAGCTAATGGCAGTACAACAAACCAGGAAATGGCTACCATTAGTAAGCCTCTTTAAATACGATTTTATGCAAAACAAAATCAGGCATCTTAAAGATAATAGTCGGTATACTTTTTGTTAAGTTTGTTTGGTTACATGCTTCCCTCCGTTTCATCATCATCTAAAACTTAAGCTTAAAAGTCAAAGTTTAATGTGCTTTCAACAAAAATATATATATATTAATTCACATGAAGCCTAATCTGTAATCTACTATAAATGCAATTTGAATTCTGACTTAAAAGAGTTGATTTTCTTACCAGTTTATATGGAGGTGTTGTTCAGCTTGAGGAAGAAAACACGACTGATGTGAGAGCAGAGCACAGACAGTCTGTTTTAAACACTTTGGGACACACCCACCTTCAAACTATAAACCCCTCCCATGGTGCTTTTCCGTGATTGTGTTTGTTTGTTGTGGGTTTTGCTCTTTTTTTCTGTGTGTTGGTGTGTGGGTATGAGTAGAGTGTTACAATAATCTTTTTGTAGCAACAAGACAGGTTCAAGTAATTTGCGATGCTGCTCAGCTAAGCAGACCATGCAGTCAACTATGAAGTTCATTGAGAAATTATGGGGAATTGTTAACACACTCTGTATTTCACTGGTAGAAAGCTGTTAAAATGTAATTTAAAATTAAAACTGTTACCATCAATAAAAGCAGGGGAAGGGGGTAGCAAGCCATTGCTGTTAGATTAAAACATGAATTGTCACCTTTTAAATCATAATCATTATATCAAGAAACACATTCAAATCAAATTTGATGTGATAATATAGAATTTTGCTTGGAGTAGAATATATTTTCCCCACTATTAACTATTTAAGTAACATTACAGATGAGATAAGTGCCTGACAAGAGGGGAAAACTAAGCACTAAAACCCACACTACCTTGATATCCAAAAGGCAATAAAAAGATCTAAGCGCTTTAAATCTGGACCAAAACTATTGTTAACTATTTATTTTCATATCAATTAAACAGCAACTGCAAAAAAAAAAAAAAAAAAAAAGTGATGCAACAAAGCTCACCTGACTTTAGCCAAACGACAAAAATAGGCAGGCCTACAGAGTGTCTGGAGAACACTTAGAGCATAACTGAAGATGTTCCGTGGGACAGCCGATTACTGTAAAGCAACCAATAAAATAAGCCTCCTCTGGAAAATTGGGAAAGAAACTGGTTAAATATCAGATTTGGACATTAGGAAATGATGCATACGATGAAATAGAGAGAATTTACACATTTAAAGATCATTCAATGGAAACTTTCCATGCTCTTTAATACACATTACAAATCTCATAAATATATTTTTCTATGCATGTAAAATATCTTCCAACTTTTGGGAATGTATCATGAAGTTACAATTCAATTTGGTTTTCCCGAATTCTGTGTCACTACCCGATTCGTACCAGAGGCACGATTGGTACATCAGCGTATGTGCGAATGAAAGCAGATATTTATCCAGGACCATAAATAATGTAATTATGGTATTAATTTCTATACTTAAATCTCCAAAGAATGTTAAACAAATCTTTAAAGAAAATACATAATTAGCTGTCTCACTAATGGCACCAAGAATATATTTCTGTGGGTTGACAAACTCAGAATACATTTATATTTTTAATTTATCTCTCAGCACTAGCCTGGTATCTATGGAAGCAAATCGTTACCATATTTAAAATGAAAAAGCATTTCCAGAAATGCTTTTTCATTTTAAGAATGTGGCTGCATTGTTTGACTCATAAATGAAGTTAGTAATCAATAATCCTGTTTGCATTTTCATTTTCTTCTTCAACACTGCTCATCCTTTTACTTAATTAAAATTAAATAGAAAAAGACATTAGAGATTTATTTTTCAAAATGTTCCCCAGCAAATGCATACCAAAATTCAATTTGAAATGTAAAATTTTCAAATGAAAAAGCATTTCTGGAAATGCTTTTTTATTTTAAAAATGTGGCTGCATTGTTTGGCTCATAAATTAAATTAGTAATCAATAATCCTGTTTGCATTTTAATTTTCTTCTTCAACACTGCTCATCCTTTTACTTAATTAAAATTAAAAAGAAAAAGACATTTGAGATTTATTTTTCAAAATTTACCCTAGCAAATTTATACCAAAATTCAATTTGAAATGTAAAATTTGAAAATGAAAAAGCATTTCCAGAAATGCTTTTTCATTTGTGGCTGCATTGTTTGACTCATAAATGAAATTAGTAATCAATCATCCTATTTGCATTTGCATTTTCTTCTTTAACACTGCACTTTTATGCCATAATCAAGGAGAAAACACAGCGGACATTGCTTTATCGTTTTCATGGTCTGCCTGCAAAGTACTGTCCACAACTCGAAAACGAAAAAGCATTCTGAGCGGAGGGTAGCAGAGTGACGTCAGCAGCCGCTCTTCCTCAGGTCCTTGCTGACCAGGCTACCCATCTTGTTCGGTAGTGGGCGCTGATTATAGCAGGTGACCTGCTATAATCTGTTCCCCCCTTGTAACTTTAAGAAACAAAGGTCTATCACCTCCAGAGTTTCAGGAGTGAGTTTTCATCATAAAAGATGCGTAGCTATAAGTCAAAAGTGAAAAAGCTGGGACCTTTTTTTGTCTGATTTAAACAGGGGGGACATATTAAAGCAGGTTTTATTTTTATTTTATATAAATAAAGCGTCAGATGTTAGAACACATACTGTTTATTAAGGATAGTACAACAAAGAAAAATTGCAAGTTAATAATAAAACACAAATATAGATTTAAGTACTAAATTTCACACAGGAAAAGGTTATTTTCCTTCAGGATTTAGTCTTTAATCATTACACTCCATTTTCTATTTCATTTTTTTTACAAGCATATGGTTTACAAAAGTTTTCAATGGGATGAGAACATTTGGACACTGTGAAACAACGAAAGATTTTTTAAGGAACGTGTGGAAAAGAACAAGGAGCTGTTTTCTTTCAGAGGCGCGTCGAGCAGCGAAAGTTAGATTTTTCCATCTTGAACAGCAGCGCGTTTGCGGCGCGGCGCGTGCATCACACTTGTCTGTGAACGCTGTGCTGTGTAGATGCGCATTTGATTTTACCCTTAAAGCTACAGTGTGTAATAATTACAGGGATATACAGTCAGAAATGTAATATATTATACATAACTATGTTATTTATCATCATCTACGAGCTCAGCCTCTTAACCTTAATATTTGCGTTGCCTTAGAATTCGTTATTTATAATTACATAGGAGCGGGTCTCGCAGCCATGGAGGCAGACATCTTTGCGCTATGGCAGCGCAGAGCCAACAAACTAGCGATTGCGAGAACGCCAAAACGTCACAACGATGTAGAAAAAATAACGGGTATATTTATTATCTTAAGTCTACATGAAATCTATACCCTACACAGACTAATGAAATACTATCTGTAAAATTATCTATGTAAACAAACCTCATCACTTGAGAAGGTAGGTGATGCGGACGTCGTGGAAGACATTTTGTCCCGTAACGCTCGCCGTACTGTTGGGGGGGAGAAGCGGTGGGGGGGAGATGTTCGTATTGCTGCAGTCTGCAGTCTGACCGCTAGATGTCGCTAAAAGTTACACACTGTAGCTTTAAGAGAAAGCTTTGCAATTTCAAAACTCACGTGGGCTACCACGGTTTATTGTTGTGTGTAAATAACAAGAGACCACAACAAGTAAATTAGCCGTACCTCGGTCAAAATCTTTGGAATTAATGTTATTTTTAAAAATCCATATTTTTGTAAATGAATCTGCCAAATAACCACATTTATTTCCCACGAGAGGTATATTTAAACGTTTCTATATCATTAATATAAGAAGCCAAGCTCCATTTTCGTTTTCGAGTTGTGGACAGTACTTTGCAGGCAGACCATGAAAACGATAAAGCAATGTCCGCTGTGTTTTCTCCTTGATTATGGCATAAAAGTGCAGTGTTAAAGAAGAAAATGCAAATGCAAATAGGATGATTGATTACTAATTTCATTTATGAGTCAAACAATGCAGCCACAAATGAAAAAGCATTTCTGGAAATGCTTTTTCATTTTCAAATTTTACATTTCAAATTGAATTTTGGTATAAATTTGCTAGGGTAAATTTTGAAAAATAAATCTCAAATGTCTTTTACTTTTTAATTTTAATTAAGTAAAGGATGAACAGTGTTGAAGAAGAAAATGAAAATGCAAACAGGATTATTGATTACTAATTTCATTTATGAGTCAAACAATGCAGCCACATTCTTAAAATGAAAAAGCATTTCTGAAAATGCTTTTTCATTTTCAAATTTTACATTTCAAATTGAATTTTGGTATAAATTTGCTAGGGAACATTCTGAAAAATAAATCTCAAATGTCTTTTACTTTTTTATTTTAATTAAGTAAAAGGATGAGCAGTGTTGAAGAAGAAAATGAAAATGCAAACAGGATTATTGATTACTAATTTCATTTATGAGTCAAACAATGCAGCCACATTCTTAAAATTAAAAAGCATTTCTGGAAATGCTTTTTCATTTTAAATATGGTAACGATTTGCTTCCATAGGGTATCCCCTTTCCCTGGTTGTATTGACAGCAACAGTATTTCCTCTCTATTTCAATTACATTTCTGAACTCTTGATAGTTTTCTAACAATAATATGCAATGCTCTTATACTTGAAACTTTCTTGCCTCAGTCACATTGAGCAATTGAGGTTTCCTTTTAATGGAACTGGATAATTGTGGCTTGAGATGTTGTGCCTAACTTGAGCCTGAATTGGTCATCAAAGCTGGGCTTTTCTGAGTGAGATTATA